CATTGTATATTCACTTCTTTTCAGCTTAATGCGTTTTATTGGTTTGTGATACTTTGAAATGTGGGTGATAGGGAAGCAAGTAATTCATGATTGTTAACTGGTGAAAGAGACTGGAATAGGTTCAATATCTTTTTTTTTGCAAAATATAAGATATTTCATGTAGCTTTACATTTTAATAAACTTCCACCATATGTTATCAAGTGTTCCTTCATATTTGACTTTAATATGTTGTTGTAATAACATGACTTTAAGTAAAGAAATATTACTTATAACGTTCTTGGTAATTTAAGATGTAATTGGTACTGTAACCAGAATATGTGCTTTACTCTATGAGTACCAGTATATTTATAATAAAAGCATTATTGGTGGAGATTTCAGTTGTTGTCGCTATTTTTTAAAGACTATGGTAATGTACCTTTTTTGGAGAGGAAAAAAATTAACTTACTCATTCAAATAAATTCAATCACTCCTCTGTTTACACTACAGCATAAATACAAGCCCAAAAGTGCACGATGTATGTGTGGATATTATAGAACCACAACTGAAGTAATCATCATCCATCTGCAATTTAGAACACAGGCAAATATTGAAAGGATTGAGTTGTTGAAAACTCCAAGTAACCGAATGTAACTAACTGCAAGTGAGGGAAACTCATCTAGTGTCCAAGTGGACTGAATGACCAGCCCTTCAAGGGAGCCATTGAGCAATTACCCAGAAAATCAGTTTTCCACAAAAGAAAAAACTCCCTCAATTGCGGCCAAGCCACATTTCTCCAACAGAGCATACTGAAAACATCGGTCGCAGCGTCACGCAACATTACGTGATTTTCCAGACGTGACATGCAGTTCCTGCATTGGTTTAAAACTTAGAAACTACATGCCCTGTAGTAATAAAAGAGGGCTTCAGTTGCAAGTGTTGTAGAGTTCAACACAAGAACAACCTAATAAAACGCTCTTTCAGTTTTTATCTCAATGTATAAATTATTCAGCCAAAACAAACAAACAAAAAAAATAATGGTATACGCATGAGCTGGAGCAACTCCTGTCAGCGGTGAAACAGAGGAATGGCTCCAGTCTCTGGTCGTCCGCCGAATGACTTTTTCATCGCCGGAATATCGCAGAACAGGAAAGACTCGGCCTTCTCTTCGTTATGTAATTAGCCATTTCTTGTTTGCTGAACAGCGCCGACCACAACATCACATCAGATTTATACCTTTACTGGAACAAACTTCCGTCCATTAAAAAGTTTTACAAACTTTTGCCTTAAACGTGCTGATGCCTAAATGGCTTGCAGATAACTACATGGTTGAGAATGTATTAATTTTAGTTCTGAAATGTACAACGATGTGACAATTTTCAGTTGATTTGATAGACTAGATAGATAGTTTTATTAAAGTTACCCTTGCAGCCCGAGGGCTGAATTACAATAATTTTTACAAATGTAAAACGTAAATAAATCATAACTATAA